GAGCCCACCGCGAGATCCGAGGATTCACGTCTTTTCTATTAAGCGTGAGTCGAAAGCTGTCACAGTCGGTCATCACCTTAAATTTCCGTCCCGCCAGATAAATATGGAAACGCTTTATCGCGTACACGACCGCGAGACACTCTAATTCGAAGCTATGATATTTCGCTTCGGTGGACGTCGTTCTCTGGCTCCAAAACGAGATCGGACGCCACAATCCATCGCTCTGTTTTTGGAGCAAAATACCACCGAAACCGCTAACGCTCGCATCACAATGCAGCTCCGTATCGGCGCACGGCGAATATATCGCCAACACCGGTCCGCTCGACAAGCGCCCCTTAAGCGTCTCGATTGCCGTGGCTTCTAAACTTTCGAATTTAAACCTCGCGTTTTTTTTTATTAAATCGTACAGTGGCTTCGCTATCACGGAAAATCCGGGGATAAACCGACGAAAGTAACTCGCCAAACCGACGAATCTCTGCACTTCCTTCGCGTTACGCGGGATCGGGTAATTCAGCACGGATTCGACGTTTTCATCGCTCGGGCGTATGCCGCTCTGACTCACGCAATACCCCAAGTATTTGACCTCTGTTCGCGCAAATCACTTATCGAGGCGAAACTGCAAACGAGACCGACCGGCCGACCCGAAAACCTCCCGCAAAATCTCGATGTGCTCATCTAGGCTTTCCGTCGCGACCAAGATATCGTCTAGGTATAATAATATTTTATTGGCTCTAATTAATGACGCAAACACCATATGTATAAAACGCTGAAACACACGCGGCGCGTTCGTCAGTCCGAACGGCATACGTAGCCATTCAAACTGCCCCAGCGGCGTCACAAATGACGTATATTTTATCGACGCGGGATGCATCCTGACGTGATGGAATCCATCCTTTAAATCCAAAATCGAGAAATATTTTTTGCTTCTCAAGCGATCAATATTATCGTCGATCAATTCCGTGGGGAAATTATCTCGCACCGTGATTTTGTTTAGTTCGCGATAATCGATACACAAACGAATACTTCCGTCTTTTTTCCTAACGAGCACGATGGGACTCGCATACGGGGAATCGCTGTGTCGTATGGTTCCATCACTCAAGAGCCTGTCTAAAATACCGCGCAAAGCCTCCTTGTCAGCGAATGACAACCTCCGCGGGCGCGACGCTATCGGTTGTTCGTGCTTCAACGCGATGGTCATCTCAAAATCGGGCGCGCCGCTCTCCGCCCGCAAGCAACCGAGGTAACATGCCTCGTACGCCTCGCTGATCTCTCTAACGCTCTTTTCGCCAATACCTTCGTCGATTCAGAGTTCGCCACACATATTGACCGAATCGTCACCACTCTCAATCGCCATAATTTTTCCAAAAATACTCGGCTCCTCGATCGCTACGATTTCTACTGTTTCTCCGAGCGTAACTCGTATCGACGGACACGTCAAAAAATCTCTTCCGAGAAGAACATTATACGTCATTGCGTCGTCCGGTACTGTGTAAAACTTTATTTTGATTTGGACGCCACAGGCTTTTACAATACTATAAAAAATACTATTTATGCGGAGTAAAGAGCCGTTAATACCGCGAAATTGATTTGCGCTCTGATCGACCAGTGAACACAATTTTTCTGGGACGCTACTACTTTTTATTAGGCTGACCGGTGATCCCGAATCAACCACCGCGCCGTCGGTATAATTAAAATCTGCGCCCTCATCCGCCGCTAAAATATCCACACTTACAATGTACGGTCCAGGAAGCGCGGCGGGCCGAACCGCGTCCGCCAACACGATCTCCGCCGATCCCGCCGTCGGACCCGCCACCGCCGGCCGTCCACGCCCAGGGCACCCCGTCGCCAAGTGTCCCGACGCCCCGCAAACATAACACGCGCGACCCGTCGGCGGCCGCCCGCAACGTGCCGCGATATGGCCTACCCCACCGCAGCGGAAACACCGCGTCCGCTCTAACCCCGGCAGCCCGGCTCCACCATCCGCAGCTGGCTTCACCCTGCCTCCCCGGCTCTCCGCCCGTCCCGGGCCCAACGCCGCTCCTAATCCCTCGCCGACAGCGGGTCTCGCTCCTCCGGGCGGCCCCATCATCCTGTCTCTGCGCTCGAACACGATGCTCTCGAAGGCCTCCAGCAGTTCCGCTCCCGACCGGAACCTCATCAGACGCGCCTGGTTCCGCAATTGCACGTTCGTAATGCCCTCAATCACGTGATCAAGAAGCTCGTCCTCAGCCACCGGGACACGATTAGCAAGAATCACCTTTTCGTGATAATAATTGCTAAATGGCTCGTCATCCCTCCACATGCGAGCCTCAAATTTTCTCCGGAGCGTGATCCTCGCCGGACGCAGGTCGAACATTCGCGCCATCTCTTCCAGCAGCTCCTCCATTCCCAATGCAAGGTGTTCGGTTTGGAGTAGAACCAGGTCAATGCCCGTCCCTTCAAACGAGAGCCGATCAGGATCCTGGTAGCGCCTTCGTCAAGACGATAGGTGTCCCTGAGAAGTCCGAGCTGACTCCTCCACCTCCAAAACGTATTCTCACTTCCGTCGAATTCCGGCAACAACTCCTTGACACCCCTAAAACTTTCACCACCGGACGATCCCGCTGATGCCACCGAAGAGCCGCGAAACAGCTCTCTCTCCCTTTGAAAAAATGATCTCCCTCTCTCCCACAAATCTCTCTCTCTCCGCAAAAGATTTAACTCGGCGCGTTCTAAATTTCCGAGGAGAGCGGACGAGGCGCCCTCGTGCCCTCGCACCGCCGCATCCCGTCTCGCCGCAGTCCTCTCCAACGCGGTCTCCTCCGCAGCAGACTCCTCCAGAAGGTCGTCCCCCGCCCGGGTCTCTCCCATCTCACTCTCCATTTCCGGACGCGAGGCACCCGCTGAGCGCCGCCCCTCTGGTTGCTTGTTCAATTCGGCCCACACGCCCGGATCGCCGATCTTCTCGAACCTCTGGATCAACTCCGCCTTCGCTCCTCCCGACGGCAGCCCTTTCGCCCGTAAAGCCGATTTCAATTCCACCACCGTGAAATTATTACCCGGCGTACTCATTATGCACTTTTCTCCCCTTTTTTTCCCAAGTAATTGACACGTGAACTTCGAATCCCACTTCTGATAAACTGTTGGGCGAGAGATATTTGAATAAAGTACCCTTGATGCGTTGAGAACTGTTTATTACGCGGATTCAGTACGAGAAGAATCAATAATGAGAGTGTCTCTCGACCGGGCGGTCGTCTTATATACCGTCGTCAAAAATAACCGACGCTTCAAATCGCGCCAATCACGCGAGGACACGAATTCGACAAATTCTCAGACGACGAACGGATGAACATGTACGGAAGACATACAATACAAAAGAATGTAAATACCGAGACAATGCCTTATACTAATACATGCCTGCAATAACAAGACGGACGACGGATAACTAAATAAGTCGAGCCCAACAAATAAATGCCAACAATAGTAAATGACATACGAGTAAATTATAATAAAGATAACGTAACGGTGATGTTACTCTTAGATATAGAAAAGCCTTTGTTAAAGTTTGGATGGATGGTTTGTTATATAAAATGTTGGAACAAAAATACCCGTTTCATATGATCAAGCTAATACATTCATATATAAACAATAGAACATTTCGAGTAACAATAAATAATAGTAAATCTAGAACGAAAATAATAAGGGCAGGTGTACCTCAAGGCTCAGTTCTCGGTCCGATATTATTTAATATATTTTTAAATGATATGCCACAGAATTTCCTAAAACCAATTTAGCAATGTTCGCTGATGACACGGCAATTTACGCACACTTTTTTAGCGCAGTAGTAGCGGCAAAACAAATACAAATACATATAAATATTTGTACGCGAGCCTTCGTATTGTTGCTTCCTCGCGACCGAACGAGAGATATTTATTTGTTAACTGCCGATTCGTTGAGAAAGGAGACTTAGCAACAGGATGATTAATTTGAGACTGAAAGGTTCGTTGTACACTTGGGTTCTTTATTTTAAGTTTCACTCGCACGACTGATCTCAGCGAGCTCTCCGGGCTTACTGGTCGCATAGGAGATCCCGCGACGATCACGGTCGCGGGATCACGCATCCTTTGGAATTTGGCGCGTGACACGCGCGTGTCGAATCGCTATTCGCGGTCGGATCGCCAATCGATACTCCCGATTTTAAAAATAAGGTGACACGCAGGACGGAACTTGAGTCCGCCTTATTTGGTGCGAAAACAAAATATGTTCTGACCTTCGAGATCGTTCCTAAATTCTCGAACATACCGCCCGCCTCGCAGACGAACGGATGCGAAAGAAGTGTGGCATGACCTACTACAATTTTCAAAATAATTACTAGAGTATAGAATTCCGAAACGAATCTCGAAAGTCGAAAACATCTTAACAATTGTGGAAGCGTAAATACTCGACCAAAAACAAAAAAAAAAAACAAAAAAAAAACAGTCTTGTAAGGCTGACAAGATTTAACTCTGAGTGACAATTTGAATGCCCGAAAGTGAAGTTAATACTTGAATAATAGACACGCTCGCTTTGATCTCGGTCGAATAACAAGGTTATCACGGGCTAAGAGCGTAAACAATTTCGAATAACGTGACCTTCGAGTAACGTGAGTCATTCGAAGAGTATAAGAATTTCTTAACTTTAAACTTAATCTAATTACAATTTGTTGATTGAACAATGGTTTTATCATTATTTTCACAAGTAACTGGAAGACGGCATAGTTGAGTGATTGGTCGCTTGAAAGAGGAATGTGCGGTGCGAACTGTCACGACTCGAACGAGTCCGTCGGAACCCGGATGGATCAGCGCGACTCGAGCGAGTTCCCACTTGCTCGGAGGGAGCAGGGAATTTTTCAGTAGTACAAGTTCTCCGACGCGAAAGTCTGAAGACTTATTCGTCCATTTACCTCGTTGTTGCAGCGAATGCAAATAATCAAGCGACCATGCACGCCACACTCGTTCGCTCATCGCGTTGACGAGTTGCCATCAAGACAATCGGTTTTCGTTTATCGCAAGTACAGACTCCTCCGGTACGGCGGTCATCGGTCGACCTATAAGAAAATGACCAGGAGTAAGCGCTAGCAAATCGCTTGGATCGTCGCTTAAGGTTGCAATGGGGCGCGAATTGAGACACGCCTCAATTCGGCAAAGCAGTGTTGAAAATTCGGCTTGAGATAAGGTATGCGAACCCACTGTCTTTTTCAAGTGAGTCTTGAAGCTCTTTACGCCGGCCTCCCACAATCCTCCGAAGTGAGGAGATGCGGACGGAATGAAGTGCCACTCCACTCTATCGTTAGCGAGGACGTCTCGCAATGAGGGATCGGAACTTACTGCGTCAAACGTGCTCTTTAGCTCCCGGTCCGCTCCGTGGAAATTTGTTCCGTTATCGCTATACAGTTTTTGAGGCAAGCCTCTTCGACTCGCGAATCTCCTAAAGGCCGCCAAAAAACCCGCCGCGGAATAGTCTTCGACTAATTCAATATGAATAGCTTTTGTAGCGAGACAAATAAACAAAGCAATATAATGTTTTCGAGTCTTCTGTCCGCGACTGACGAACGGGGTAAGGAAAAACGGACCAGCGTAATCGACTCCCGTATGAGTAAACGGGGACGATGGATTAACTCGGGGAGAAGGGAGATCTCCCATGAGTTGGCTGGCTTGTTGCTTCGCGTAACGAGCGCAAACTATGCATTGCCGAATGCGAAATTTTACCGTACTTCGACCGCCGAGTAGCCAATAGTTTTGACGGAGCGTTCGGAGGACAAGTTGAACTCCGCCGTGGAGCGAGATCCGATGCGCATGATCGATTAACAGCTCGGCTATTCTGCCCCGGGGAATGATAATCGGATGTCGTTCCTTGTAGGAGAGAGCGGAATTTCGTAATCGCCCGCCGAGACGAAGTAAAGAATCCTTTCCGACGAAAGGATTTAGCGATTTCAACGAGCTTTTGTGAGGGAGCGTTTCGTCTTTCCGTAAGGTCTTGAACTCGAGTTCGAACGATCTTTTCTGCGCATAAGCGAGCCAGAAAGTCTCTGCTCGACGGAGCTCGTCTACTCCAAGATACAATACAGTGGTATCTTCACTGTTCGTTTTATTACGAGAACAAAGGAAAAATCGGTAGATGTAAGCTGTCACTCGGACAAGTCTAGTCCAACAGCCAAATCGATGGGGAAGGTCCCATTCCGGAGTGCCCTCTACATGCAGAACCGCGGATTTTCGACTTTCGGCATGTACTTGTTTCACTAGCTCTTCAGAGAGTGAAGTAGCGACGTTATGTGGAGGCCAAGAGGTAGAAGGCTGTTGAAGCCAAGGCGGGCCCGCCCACCATAACGAATGCTCAACTATGTCGGACGCATTGAATCCTCTGGACGCACAGTCCGCGGGATTTTCTTTGGACGGCACGTGACTCCACTTAGCAGATGGCAGGTTGCACTGTACTTCCGATACCCTATTGGCCACGTACGTGGTCCATTTCGATGGGTGTTGACGCAGCCACGCCAGCGTAATAGTGGAGTCCGTCCAACAATGAATCGAAGTATTTGAGAAGTTTAATGAATTTATCAACCACTTCACTAATCGACTTAATAAAACTACCGCATTGAGTTCGAGTCGAGGAATGCTAAGTGTCTTAAGGATGCGACCTTTGACTTTGCGGCGATTAAATTTACTCGATACTCAGAAAGGGAGTGAAACACGCGCATATACACAACGGCGGCGTAAGCGCGATTCGAGGCGTCCGCGAATCCGTGAAGTTCTAACGTAAGATTATCCGGGCTTTGACCGGTCCATCGAGGAATACGTATCGACTCCAAACTTGAAAGGTCGGAGGCGAAAGCAGTCCATCGTTGACTCAACTCGTTTGGAAGTGGGGTGTCCCAATCGTAACGTAGTAGCCACAATTCTTGCAGAATTATCTTGGCAGTTATCACAACCGGGGCAGCCCATCCGAGAGGGTCGTATAGTTTAGCAATGCACGATAGTATAGAACGTTTTGTCAACACGATCGGAAGATCAAACTTCACTGTGAATTGAAATGAGTCTTCCGACGGAAGCCACGATAAACCAAGAATCCTTAACAATTCGTCCTTCAGTACAAGGTGATTAGTAACTTCCGACTGATCGTTTGTAACGTTATCAAGAAGTTCGTCACAATTGGAAGCCCATTTTCGTAGCAAAAAATCGCCGCGTTTCAAAAGTTCTACGAGTTGAGTGCGCGTATCGAGTAACGAGTCAAAGTTGTCGGCACCGAACAACGCGTCATCCACATAGATTGAGTCATTAATGATAGGAACCGCAGCAGGAAAGTCAGCACCTTCGTCAAGAGCTAATTGTCGAAGCACTCGCATAGACAGATACGGTGCTGAAGCTAAACCGTATGTAACGGTGAGCAGTCGAAAGTGGGTAATTGGCGCGTCAGCCGTAGGGCGCCAAAGTATCCTTTGAAAGTCGACGTCCTTCGAATGTACGCGTATCTGGCGAAACATTTTTGCGATGTCTGCCGTATAGACTAAGCGCCATTTACGCCAACGCGTTAATACAGCAGGAAGGTCCTGTTGTAGTTTCGGCCCGACAAGTAAATGGTCGTTGAGAGACGTCCCATTTCGAGTCTTACAAGACGCGTTAAAGACAATGCGAAGCTTCGTGGTGCAGCTCTCTTCCCGCATCACCGGATGATGGGGAATGTAAACTGGCAAGGTCTCCGTAATTTCAGCCTCGTCCACGCGTGTCATATGGCCGAGTGATTCGTATTCAGACAAGAAGTCGCGGTATTGCGAACTGAGATCGGAATCTTTATCTAGTCGAGTCTCCATGCGACGATACAACGCTTTCGCGATGGATAGAGATTCCCCGATATCGAACGGCGGATCTCTCTTGAAAGGCAATCTCACTACGTAGCGGCCATCAGAATCCCGGCTGTGGGTTTCAATGAAGTGAGATTCGCATTGCTCCTCCTCATTCGTGGGGGAGGCCGGCGCAGAGATCTCTTCATCCTCCTAAAATCTCTGGAGGAGAGAGTCTACCTGTTCAGCGAGAACGCAATTCAGAAAAGCAGCCTCACAGAGAGCTGATTCTTTCGATCCGGTCGGTCCGGAAATCACCCAGCCGAACGCGGTCAATTGAGCAGTGGGAGTTCCGGGCGGACCCTTTCTCAGGTCACGCATAAGTAACGAACCGTACACGTCCGCGCCGATTAACATATGGATCTGGTGTCTGCTTGACGGATCCGCTAACGAAAGGCCTTGCAGGTGAGGCCACGAATTGACCGGCTGAATACGCGTTGCGGCGTATGACGTAATGCGGTGGAAAACGTAAGCGGTAACGGGGAAGACCGGGTTTGACTTATCGCACGGTGTCAATTTTAACGAAACTCGCGATCGCGCCGAGCCGGTATATTTTTCGCCGAAGCCCTTGATTTGTAGATCGGTCCTCTGTCGTCTAGTGCGGATCGTTTGACATAACGTCTCGGAGATAAAACTAAAATTAGATCCTTGATCTAACAAGGCTCGAACCTTGAAGCATCTGCCTTCGGACGTATGGACGTTAACCCACGCGGTCGCTAGGAGGACCGCGGGCGTCGCGTTATTCGGAGGCCTAATTGATTGCACGCTGGCGACGGCAGCTTCGCCGACGACACTAATCTTGTTCGCACAGGGAGTCGCGTTAGCTTTTGATTTAGATGAATCGGAATTTTCACCGACATTTGACGTTTGAACATTCTCTTGATGCAACAGCGTGTTGTGAGAGCGTTTGCAGTGAGCGCATCGAATTTTACTCGGACACTGTCTCGTGAAATGTCCCGCTCGCAGACAATTAAAACAAACTTTATTTTGTCGCGCAATGATACTTCTCTGCGGTACGTCTTTCCCACGAAATTCCTCACACCTCGTGATAGCATGATTGCCCGAGCAACAAATGCATTTAACGACGGTAACGTTATGAACTGAAGAACGCTGTTTGTCATTCTTAGAACTTATAGTCTTTGAATAATCGGAGAAGTCAGACAGACCACGTATGCGGAGTGTGAGGAACTCGTGGATATCTTTGTACGCCGGAAGATCTCGACTCGATAAAACTTTCAGGTTCCATTCGCTCTTCGTTCTCGCACTGAATTTTTGTGATATGATATATATGAGAATATCATCCCACTCGCTCACCGGCCGATTTAAATTGGTAAGTGCCGCGAGCGACGCGGACACCGTGTCTCGCAATGTTCGTAGTTCCGCGACGTTTTCGGATTTCATTGTCGGAAGACACATGAAGGCGTGAATGTGAGTATGGATAAGAGTCAATTTATCGTCATACTCATCAATGATCAGTTGCCAAGCGGACTCGTAATTTGCGTCGGAAATTTTCAAGTTACTTATTATTAAAGCGGCGTCCCCGATGACGCTTGTCTTAAGATAATGAAACTTTTGGGTATTTGTAAGAGAATCATTATTCGCGACTAGAGACTCGAACGTGTTTTTGAAACTTTCCCATTCCGAAAAGTTGCCCGAAAATTTTGGCAGGGATATCCGCGGCAACTGAAAATTGTTATGGTAACTCTCGCGTACGGAGGAGTCGGTACTACGATCGAATGAAGAAGGCTGATTTGTAGTAAATCTACTTATCGTTTCTCTAAGAAGGTCTGCCGTGTCGTTGTAGTAGTCCTCGGCGACTATAAACTCCCCGTTCTGGAAGTAAGGTAGTGTCTTCTGTTCATCCGATGTCGCAGTCTGCAGCAGCCGGACTTGATGCTCTCGGCAGGAGGCCCAAATCATCTCCAAAGTAGCGAGGCGCCCCTGCGTCTTAGCCAATGTCACGTTGACTTTTGCCAATTTCTTAAAATTGACGAGGACTCTTTTCAACGAATCGATGTTCTCCGTTTGCGCGATGAGTAAATTTCTCAATTCACTCATGATCACAGTGCGGGTTTTTTTTTTCAAATGACTCGGACACTCGCAATTTAAGCGAAGAGACGAACTTTATTTAGTTTGTGACAATATTCGCCACAGAACGAGCGAAACGCCAACCTGCTTCGCCGTCGTAACTTTACACGAGCACCATTATCTATGTAGAGTAGCCGAGACAATGCTAATTCCCCCTCACTGGAGTACCGGGCGCGTAACCACGGCGCCGTCGGACCGACGGAGCGCGACGTTCGAGTCAATGTTTTTGACGTGGACTGTATTTCGAAACACACGAAAATTTTCACCGAGATTGCACAATGTACTGCAGCATGACAATTTTGCCGACGGTAGTTTTCTCGCAGACGGCTGCCTGCCGAAGCGAGATAGAAATTGTCTCGGAATGAACCGCCCAATATATGCCGGGCGCGTGAGAGCGGCGCCGACGGCCAGCAGATCGTGATCGACCCTGTCGAAACACGACGACTAGATGGAGAACTCACGGGGTAGGTCGGGGAGCTCAGCGGCTTCGCCAGGCGACAACCCTTTCGCGAACGATCACTTCTCGAAGCGCGAACTTCTCCTTTAAAAAACGCGTTTCCAATCGCGACGCGTGAACACTGTTCGACGAAACGTAACTCGCGACGACCTCTTGTCGCTTCGCGAATTATATTAGAAGAGAACACGCGAGGATGCCGGGGAGCTTGGCAGCTTCGCCTGGCGGCAGCCCTTCCACGAACGATCACTTATCGGTACGTGGATGTCTCTATTAAACGAAAGAACTCCGTGACGCTATATTCCTGCGTCGACGGCAGTCTTCGCGGAAGACTAGTTTGTCTCGCAAAGCACAATGCACTTTTTCCTCACCCACTACGGGAGAGCAACACTCCACTAGAAACTCAAGCGGAGAGCGAGAAAGCCCAGAGAGTGAATCCGAGAGAGTTCGAATTCGAACCTGTCCCTTTTCTCACAATCTCGCGAAAAAATCCGGTTCGAAAGACCATTCAATTCTGTACGCGAGCCTTCGTATTGTTGCTTCCTCGCGACCGAACGAGAGATATTTATTTGTTAACTGCCGATTCGTTGAGAAAGGAGACTTAGCAACAGGATGATTAATTTGAGACTGAAAGGTTCGTTGTACACTTGGGTTCTTTATTTTAAGTTTCACTCGCACGACTGATCTCAGCGAGCTCTCCGGGCTTACTGGTCGCATAGGAGATCCCGCGACGATCACGGTCGCGGGATCACGCATCCTTTGGAATTTGGCGCGTGACACGCGCGTGTCGAATCGCTATTCGCGGTCGGATCGCCAATCGATACTCCCGATTTTAAAAATAAGGTGACACGCAGGACGGAACTTGAGTCCGCCTTATTTGGTGCGAAAACAAAATATGTTCTGACCTTCGAGATCGTTCCTAAATTCTCGAACAATATTCTTGAACATTATTACAAATTATGGAAAATATCACTCAATGCAGATAAAACAGAAGCAATTATTTTTACTAGAAAATACAAAAACACACGAATTTTTACACCGATTACACTGTATAAACAACCAATTCAAATTAAAAGTTCGGTAAAATATCTCGGCATGCACTTGGACAGTAGATTGACATATAAAGTTTACATAAGCAAATCAATTCAAAGAGCATATGGGACTATGAGACAATTATATTCACTTATGGCTAAAAACTCTAAATTAAGTATTACAAATAAAAGACTCATATATGTAGTAATCTTAAGACCGATATTGTTATATGCGGCTCCAGTCTGGTGCTCGGCAGCGCCCACAAATATTAAACTGTTACAATCATATCAAAATAAATGCCTGCGATTAATATTAAACAAAGACAGATATGAAAAAATCAAAAACTTACATGAACTTTCAAATATAAGCCTAATACAAAACCACATTGACGAAATCGGTTCAAGATTCTACACAGAACAAATAAATAATGGAATTGATTTGGTTAAGGAAACAATGTGTCTCGACAAAGCAACTAGACCAAAGAAATGGCTGTATAAATTAGCGTATGAAAAACTCAATGTACCTGACGCAGAATGTATTCATAGTTGACGTATTTTTATTATTTATTATTTATAGTATATTTATATATTGTTTAAGTAAAAGAAATAGGTTTGAGCAAATAAGCCAACAACAAAACGTAAGCAGGTTTTTAATAAAACGCATTTTCCTGTATAATCACCAAATTATTAAAAAGAAAAACGAATATTGTAAATAACATTTAAGCGAAGGCGAACATATATTTGTAACATTTATAAGAAGCTGAAGGTTAAGCCATAAGGCAGGAATTTCAATTTATATTGTAACAAACATTTCAGCTAAATGATTTTCATTTATTGAATATGTAACTCAACCAAACTGAATAAAGCTCTATTAAAAGTAAGGCTAGGCACGGTACCGTCGAGATTGAAGATTGGAGGTTCGAGTCTCGAGGAGTGGCACTTTTTATTTTAAATAAAATTTTTTTTACCATAAAATGTAATTTTTACACAAAATAAATGTAAATAACACGATTTATTTACTTATAACACGTATATTACAAAAATGCATTTTTCTTTGCCTCAAAAAGCCGTGAAACGCCGTCTGTAGAATAGCTGTATGCGGTATGTGAACTTATATAATTATAAAAGTTATCCGATTTATATCGTGTTTGGTGTCGTTGAAATCGCAAAAATCTCATTAATCTATTAATATTATTTTCAAATCGATAAAATGCGAAATAAAGGTTATAGTTTTTGACTTATAAGATGTTTATATTTGTAAATTGCCATGGATGGGGAAGCCTATTGTTGGAGACTTCGAAACTTTCTTTAATGATACGTCCTCTCGCTCGCTCTATACTCGCGGTCTCGCTTTCTCTCTCGCACACGACGAGTTGTGAGATGAGCTCGAAAAGATA